TGCTTGCCGCATGGTGCTGATTGATTAACACGTGCGTCGGTGCTTGTTATTATTAACCCGCTGCTGATACCGGTTAGTTATTTTGTGAGAATTTTCGCTGGCTGGTAGTTGTGACAAATTACCTCTCCTTTTTTTTCGGTTTTCCAAAATAGAGAACTGTTTCTGTTTCATCTGCAGCAACACCAGTGAAGTCAACAGTCACACACCATCACTTCTCTTATGCATGTGTTATCCTATTGGCAGAGATGATTTAGCAACTGGATGGAATACATTAATGATTTAGAGACATTTTTAATGCTTTGGGTATATTACTAATGAAACAACTTAATGGAATCTTTGGAATTATATTTTCCAGAGTCTGTACCGCCAACTGCTTTCATCCATGTTCAGATAACACTGTTGATGTTGACTCTTTTAATGCTTTTATACTGTATGTACAGTAGGTAGTTTTAGTGAAAATTATTTTTATGGTATTAAAACTATTGTTGATAAAACAGAATGTATAACAGACTTTGCAATGACAAGATCACATGAATGATCCCATCATGGTTGTTTTAATTAATGTGCATGATTGACTTGTTTTCTTAATCTGAAGCAGGTGCAGTTGTTTTTTTTTTCTATGGCAACTAAAAAAAAATCTCATAAACTGATGTAATAGCGGAGATGTAGCTAAAACCCTCAGGGCCCTGTGACTCTCAATGACTGAGGATTGGGTTCCCTGGCATGAAGGCATGTTTTTTGTTTCAAATGATCTATCAATACTATGTGAATCCAACAGACTACGGAACAGCTTCTACCTCCAGGCAATAAGACTGCTAAATAGCCAACCTGCAACTCCTTTAGCAAATCACCTGTAATGGCTACATGGACACACAGTTTTCACTGTATTCAGCATAACCGCACTACTTGTATACAGTATATTGCATACACCATGGACACATAGCAGCTCTACTCATATTGAGTTTTATTCCATTTCTATTACATCTATTATTATGTAACCTTCTTTTCATAACCTCAATTTTGTGATTTTTGGGTTTTTGTGATTCTTGTGATTTTCGTGAGCTCGCAGAAAAGACATTTCATTGCCAGCAACTACTGCTGCACGCTGTATTGTTGTGCATTTGATAAATAAACATTGATTTGATTTTGAATCTGAGCTGTGATTTTACACATGAGCATTCTTACAAGGGCACAAATGACAATGGCATTATTGTAATTACTAATACTCTCCTGACTGAAAAATAATTCAAAGAAATATACAGATAGTGTTTATTTGCAGCATAAAGAATAAAGAATTATTAAACTGGGTCTTTATTCCAACTGAACAAATTTACAACAAATGAATTATCATTATGAAGCAGTCAAATCTATACAGCTGGATGGATTCATTGACTGGTATAATATTGACTTTCTGCTTCACATTTACTAAGCTAGAGAACAAAGATCACATTAAATCAACCAGTGTTTCCAGACATCTTTAGAAATTAGTAATAGGTTTATTCCATGCTGAAAAGAGAAGAAAGAAAACACAAATGTTTCAGCAGTGGAGCCTTCTTCGGGTGTGAGCTCACATCTGAAGAAGGCTCAATAGCCGAAACGTTTGTATTTTCTTTCTTCTGTTTTCAGCATGGAATAAACCTATTACTTGTTCCTTTGCAGCCTACGCATGCTGGTGCAGCAACCCACCTGAACTATCTTTAGAAATTAGCACTCTGGTGCTTTATTAGTTTCTGACACAATTATTTTAAATCTAACATATTTCTTACAACTATTTTTATCACATAGTTTGGGCTCCCCAGGAGTGTCATTTACTGTAGGTCTCGGCTCACACTAAAGATTCCTTACAGGGGAAAGAGGCAGTGCTCTGAAGTCGAACTTTTGATATGCCACAAGGTATGCTTTGATATACAAAATGTTCAGCATCAACTGGAGGAGAAGCATCTACCTCAGCAATGTCATTGTGTGACAGGCTAGCTAACTAATCCCAACCCTATGCCCAGTGGTGCAGTGCCCATTGTGAGCTGCCACTTGTGGAATCAGAGCCAGCAACTGACATGATCCATACTTAAACAGAACCAGTGCAACATAGAACCAAATCTTTATCAGTTGCACTATTCGGGACTGCCACACAGTTCATTTACTTAATTTACATTAATTAAATTACTTAATTACTTCATTTAAATTACCAAAATGAAATCACTGGACATGAAAAGCAGAGAACAGGCACAAATTAGTGAAACTGTCTTAGTGCCTAGCAGGAAACTGTATTTTCTCATTCACTTTTAAAGTTCAAATAAGAAGAATAAGCCAGGTTATAACACTTTATAACTAAAACTAAAAACCAAAGTTTTTTATTAAAAAACGTAATGCTTCAGAGAGAGAGGCTTGCGGCTTGAGGGTTGGCTACATTCTCAATCTTTATTTTTCAGTTCTAAAATTGAACACATGCAACTTTTATACAGTATATACAGTATATTAAAATATCATATCCACCACTGGTTTTGGAATGCTTGCTTTAAATACTAGCTCATAACTCTTTCTGGTTGAAGAATTCTGTGCATCTTTTTGTTATGATGTCTGCAAATTATAAAAGAGTGCACACTATTCTCGTGTAGTAATTTACTTTTTATTTAAAAGTCATGCGAAAGAGGAATGTGAAATGTTGTGTGATACCTTTGGTAACTCAGTAACTGAAAAGTTTACATTATAATGGAAGGGCGAACATAATCATGTCACATCTGTTAAGAACAATAAAATAAACAATATTTATTTTATAATAAAACATTTCCTATGTCACCTACTTACAGTACAATAGCCATTCAAGAGGTTATTGTCAAATTACGTTGTCGAATATTGGCAATTTAATAACAGTCTTTACAGTCCTGACTTGTAAATACAGTACCTGTGAGTTTATCCTCATTGCAGACAACTGCTAAAGTCATAGCACTTCGGCTTGTAAAGCCATATCACCCTGCAACTCACAACTGGCAACCCACTGAAGCTAAGCGGGTGTGAGCCTGGTCAGTACCTGGATGGGAGACCTCCTGGGAAAAACTAAGGTTGATGCTGGAAGAGGTGTTAGTGGGGCCAGCAGGGGGCGCTCACCCTGCGGTTTATGTGGGTCCTCATACCCCAGTATAGTGACGGGGACACTATACTTAAACAAGTGCCGTCCTTCGGATGAGACGTAAAACCAAGGGCCTGACTCTCTGTGGTCATTAAAAATCCCAGGGCGTTTCTCGAAAAGAGTAGGGGTGTAACCCCTATGTCCTGGCCAAATTTCCCATTGGCCCCTACCAATCATGGCCTCCTAATAATCCCCATCTATGAATTGGTTTCATTACTCTGCTCTCTTCCCCACTGATGTGTGGTGAGCGTTCTGGTGCACTATGGCTGCCGTCGCATCATCCAGGTGGATGCTGCACATTGGTGGTGGAGAGGAGTCCCCATTACCTGTAAAGTGCTTTGAGTGGAGTGTCCAGAAAAGTGCTATATAAGTGTAAGCAATTATTATTATTATTATTTTTCATATTCTTCCCCACAATCAGTAAATAATGAAAGAGAACTGTCATATGGTGTTTGGGAATGAGGAAGTAGAAATCAATGGCCATAAAGAATCTACTGAAAGTGGTAAACTTGTTTGAAACTTGCTTAGAAAGCTTTAAAGAACAGCCTTACCAGTATTTTAAATTATAAATATCTTCTGGAAAATAATAAACCATTTTAATATTTTTATATAACATTGCAAATAAAAAAAGGAACAATTCAGCAGTATCCATCGGATCATGTCAGGGCTATTTAAGACGTACTGTAACAGTGGAAACATACAGTAAATAATGTGTTATTTTTTAATAATTGGTTAATTTACAGCAAGGCAAGAGATTAGAGCAGGATCAATCATTTGAGTCTGAAAAGCAAGCTGGGAAATCGAAGTGAATCGACAAGAAATGTTTTAAAGAGGAGCATGTTGCTTGTAACAAAGCCAAAAACGGAACCATCCTGCCTGAAATAAAAAATGTGTTACACCAGAGGGGTAGTTTCCAAAGACCTCAAGCAGATTATGCAACATCAAGGGAAATCTCTTACTACTGTAGTGCTCATTGGAAAATGCAAACCAGGCTGGCACTGTACTATAATTCACCGTTTAAAGCCCCTCTAAAATGTTTGCATGCTCATTTTTGCTGTTGATTACAAGTCATATACTGTCACATATTAAATTGCACAACATGTAATCAAAGATAACATCTATGATCGCTATGCGTATAATGTTGTTGACGTTTCTGACCAAATAAACTGATGAAAATTGACAAATTGTGTTTTAACCACTGTAAACATTAAAACATAAAAAGCACTGTAAACCGATGTTCGCAGGCTTACATACTGTACCGAAGTTCTGTAGGAATGATAAAAAGGTTAAATGCATAATTGTCTACACCATCTGATAAACACAGTGTTACTTTTATTATGTCAAAGGTTGAATTTGTTGCTAAAACCCAGCGCAAGAAATTACTTAAGAAATTACTAAACTCAATTTAAAATGCATTAGATACAGTACGTACTGTAGCAGCATAACGTCTGGTCTCGATGGAGTACACGTTTTAAACCCCAATTGTTCTTTCTCTACAAGAAAATAAGCAATTACTGTATTATGCCTTCCTAGCACATTTACTATAGTTCCCACGGTACTCAGTTCCGCCACCTTCTGTTCTTCGTGGGAATGAGAAATACTATTACAAAAACACTTCTCAAAATATTCTCTGGACTGATGTAATGAGAAAAAAAAGTTAAAGCACTTTCATATAGCAGCATTAGAATTGTTTGCGTTTTTTTAGGAAATGGAAGAAAACATAATTATTGTTTTAAAAACGCGTCGGCAGTTTTTGACTGGAACGAAACCATTATTAAAAACTATTCACGTAACACGGCCACTATATGCGACAGGGTTTGCTTGGTGATCTGTGATGTCTAAGATGTCGTGACAAATCTTTCTGTGGACTTACCTCTAAAATCTGGACGTAACTTGCTGGGAACCATCCTCTCACTCCATCCTTTTCCCCTTCCCACCAGCCGCCGTCCAGAGCTTGTAAAACTTTAATAATCTCCCCTGCCTCGAACCTCAATCCCTGTTGATGTTGATCTCCGGTGAAGGCATATAAACTTTTACACAAAGATCCAGACATTGCAAAGGGAAAACATGCAAATAGACTCTGTACTGTATCTATGCGTATTTAACTCTTTCTTTCCTCCTCTCTTTTATACACGCTCACAGGATTACATTCTTCATTTTCTCAGTTTTGTGTTTAGTGGACACGATTCAGGAATGTGATCGGATTCGCCGGAAAAAGCCGTTTCAAACCAAAGATTGCTGAGCAGATTCCTCCAGTTCCCAGAACCCAATACAGCGGTGCTTCCAGCCACTTCACTCGTCTCTCCAGCGTTTTGCTGCCTGCTGCTGCTGTTGCTACTCTGTTATTACACTTCAGTTTTCACTAAAGGAAGGAAGCGTGATCTCACTCTTCAAGGGCTGTGCAGTTTAACTCAGAGACGTGTTTTTTTAAATACATTCGTACCAGATTAAGACATGTACAGTAAGTTGTTCAATTCGTTTTTAATGTATAACAGGAAACATGTCTAACGTAGTAGTTTCTTTCAACTACAGAATATACTGTAGTATACCTACAGTACATACAAAACTGATGCCACCCACCGTTTCGTACCTTGTCATTAGCCTGTAAAGTACGTGCGCCTATCAGTATGACTGGCTCTTAGTTATAATTGGCGAAGGGCAAACGAAATAAATTCTAAAATGGTTAGATCCTAGTTATCACTGCAATTATTATGGGACAGTTGGTACAATACTTTTAGAGTCAGACAAGAAAAATCAAGATTTGTAGTAACATGACTTTTAATGCCTAAATGCATTTTTTTAAAATTAAAAAATCTAGAGAATGTGAAACGATTCGAACGATGCTAGTCATTCTCAAGTGTTCCAGGTACAACAGTTTTTTTTTCCCAAATAAAAATGTAATGGAACCTACAGTACTGTATGTACAGTCACGTCTGTCACGTCTGTCTGTCCCACAGTGTACGTGTGCTGCGCTCATAGGGGGGGTGGTGAGTGGATCAGTGGGAGGCAAGGAAAACTGTTTTCACAGCAGGAAAATTTCACAGTGCATTTAAAGTACGGTGCACCGATTGTTAACAGCATAGTGGTGAGAAATGTCAATTCCTCTGGTATTCATGGTGTGACAGTCTTCCCCTCGTTTTAATATGTGCTGAGAGTGTGGTGAACAATGCACTATAAAATACAATTTTATCTATACTCTTCCATTAGGAATCCATTATAGCTTTCAAATTGCAGTTGATTATCATTTGCCTACAGATAATTGTTTTTTATTTTGAATTGTGCATATACAGTATACGCATTACCATGAGAACATTCAGACACTTATTTTAAAAAAATATATATATATATAACCAGAACAGTGTTTTTGCAAGGAAACTATGACTACTGTATTCAAAATAATTTTGAAGGAACACAAGAAAGTTGCATTAGTGACAATGTCCGGCCAGTGTTTGGGGCAGGTCACATCTTAAAGATCCAAAAATTTTGTGTGTTTCTTAAATGATACCAAGTAATCAGACTGAGCAAAGTAGGTAGGGACCATATTCTAGACTCCCACAACTCTCTGGGGAGGAAACTTCTCTTGTGTCTATCTTGAAAAGGCAGAACCCTTGTACCACATGAAGATGTCTCCTGGACTGACCAATATCTGGTCAATATCCTCCATTAATTTTAATACCTGAATCATGTTCTGGGGGGTATGGTTATGGCACAGTGGTTAGCATTCTGCTTTAATAAATCAAATCCACCTTAAATGCATTACTGTACATTTATTTTTGTAAATGTCCTTCTAGATCTATACAGATTATTTTATATTGTTTGTGCAACTGAAACAGTATTTACAATTTCATATATTTTTGTATCATCTACAAATTTGACATGCTTCCAGACTGTTGTAGGCCAGAATCCAATGCAGTGGTATAAAACAGGAAGAACAGCACTTTCAGTACTGTTTTGCTGGCCACTACTGGCCTCATTCCAGTTTACAGTAACTCAGCTCATCAGTAACCAACCTGTGAATTCATTTCTTGTTAATTTAGGGTTCACAAAATTAAACGGGGACAATTTAAGAGGGTTCAAGTTACATGTGATCCAAATGGAGGGTGACAAGTGGACAGTTAGTGCATCACACTGTGACCTCCGAATAGGGAGATGCTCTTTGGTTTGCTACAGCAGATGAAAAAGTGTTCCCCGTATCTCTTGAAAGGCCTAATGACCCATGTTAAAACATCAGAGACATTGTTATATGTTTTACTGAAGTAGGAAAGTCAACATTATTTGATAGAACCAATTAAGACACTGAAATATTCTGCTTTAAGACATTATTCATTTACATTAAAATTTCAAATTTAATGGGCTCCTGCTTTTCCATTGTTTTCGCAAATATTTTTATTTATATTTTTAATGACAGATCCATTCATGTTGCATTTTTGTTGCATTAATTGTTTATTTACAAATATAAAACAACTCCCCAAACCCAGGTCCTCTGAAAAATCTAGTTGAAAATCAAAAGAATACAAGGACATTTTTTAGATGATTCAATAACGTTTAGGTTTATGGCTTTTTATTAATCTAATTTCAGAATTTTCTTTTTAGAGACAAAATTTAAACAAGCCTTCTAGGGGTACTCCACCTTAATTGTAATAAAGAACAGAAGTTGGAGCATTCTTAAAATTAAATAAAACTCTTTCTATTACTGAGCAGGGTCATGATTAATGTGTGATACTTAATGCATGGTTTAAAACTAGGGAATGGAAGGTTTTACTGAATGGATCAAACACTTAACTATTTTCATGTCATATGCACTAGTCATAAATCAGCTGGAGAGTTTGTTAATGTGCTTACCAAAGGGATGTAAGATTTACAGAGCTCATTTTAAATGTTACTGTTAAAATATGCACGTTAGAGGAAGCATGATAGTGATTATTGTAACATTCTAGGGTTTTTGACCATGTTAAGAATTAATTGTGTTAATGAATCTGATTTTTAAGAATTTTATTAGATATGACTATTTAAGAAGTACACTAGTGTATTTAAAATACAGTTCCTGCTGCTTAAAGTTTCAGTGTGTTATGTAAGATATTTTATGTATTTTGGAGGAAAAAATAACTTCAGAATTTAAATGAGAAAAAAATATTGTACAAACTGAACACTTTAAATTTAGAGTCAACAGTAAAAGCTGGTGTTCTGTAACACAGTTGCCACCTAGTGGTGTATATAGAAAATGCCAGATTTTTTTTTAATGCTGTACATCTGTGAAACCACATTCATGAAAAACAGGATTTATACTTCTTCACAAAAGTAATTTGAAGAAACATTAATGGAAGTTTAATGTCTCAAAATCCAGGTTTCATTTTTGTTTTGTTTTTAAATAAGGTAAAACATGTCTGAGACTGCACTGGCAAGTCTAATAAATATATGACATGCCAGCTTATTTTCCAGCTGTGTTGAAACATCCCTTCATTAAAGATTTCCTGTATCCTGTAGGAAAAACTGATGTTTTGCACAAAGAAAAAAACAAAGATAAAACATTTCCTTTGACACTAGTGCCATCCTACAGTATATGTTACAGGAAATCTACAGCAAGAATTCCCATTAACCCTTTCAAAATGTATGTAAATATTGCAGAACTCATGTATATTGAAAACATACCGTATATATAAATTTATGCAAAGTTTGCAAAAGCAAAGGAAACTGGAACCAGCAGCTGTATGCTTCTCAACGTACTAGCTTAGATGAATCCATCCTGTATAAGAAAGCTGTTCAATCCTGTTGAGGATCATGGCAACACAAAGCTTAGGTAGAAAGACTGGACTACACAGACAATACATGGACAGTACAGTAGTCGCTGGCTACACACACGACTCATGCAGGATAATATAGAAACACCACTTAAAGCCAGTATGTCTTTAGAAGGTGAGAGGAAACCAGAGCCCATGCAAACACAGAGGGAGCTCCACCCCATTCTGCAATCAAACCCAGGACTGAGAGATGAGAGGCAGCAGGACGTTCTGGAGTTGATCTCACCTTCTTTAGAAACTATCATGGTTTTACACTCTAGATTAAATACTATGTCCCTGGCAGCCAATGTAATATTTTCCCTTTGGGACTTCCTCCAGCCGCCAGATAAACAGTAATATAACTCCTTTTTCTGGCTCCCCTCCTTGTTTTCTCTCACTGAGATCCTCCTCTCCAGCCACCACCATACAGCAGTGCTTGTCTCTAATGAAGAATCTCTAGTCTGTACTTACTCTCTCACTCTCGTTAATTTCTTTTGCCAATTTAAGTGTTGGCACAGTGAACATCAGTAAAAAGGCCTCAAGATGAAGTCTTCTTTCATCTCCAATGGAATACAATGTTGTGCTTTTATTGTTTTTATATTTCTTTCCTGCCTTCACAGCACTGTACTAACAAGAACTGCAACAAAATAATGCAACAAACCTGAGTGCATAACACAGTATTCAAGGCTAACTGAGCTGAAATAAAATCATATGAAATAAAAAAAAAAAACAGAAGAGAGTTTGGCCAATAAATTACTAATACCTAAATAACAATATTTTAAGACCTTCAGGAAAAAGAGATATACTGTCTATTGAATCTATTGCACTATTGCGTTTATTACTTCAAAGATATAAATGGCTCCACTTAAGTTGATAAACAAAATATTGCTTTAATTACAGGGCCTATAAAGTATATTTAGTACTATGATGACTTGAGGTCCCATCTTTCCTGTAGAGAGTATTTTCCTCAATCCTCATTCTTCAGACCACCCATTAGTGTATTTATTTCCTTGATTATTTCAGTTTCATGTAGTAAATGAATACAAACTTTACTCTGCTTGATTCATATTTTCAGCAGCCATTTAACTATACAAAAGTATTTATTTTTATTGACAGAGCAGTTCTTCTTCACTAACTTTTTGTCCTGAATTTAGAAAACTCATTTATAGTGCATAAAATGCCAAGGAACAGAAGGTCACTGACCTTTGAAAGGGTCTGCCCTGAAAATCTGAAGGTCCACCTGTTAACTAATTATAGTCTTCATACTGATTTAGGGCACGCCTTACACTTTTCCAAGCACAAGTAATCTCCTAGAGCGAGAAAAAAAAACATTGCCAGTGACATCTGTGAGTGTAAATCTATTTCTGATAACTACTTAAAGTCTACAGATCATATTAAATGCCATTACACAATATGAAAATCATGAAATTGATTTACATTATCTTCTTTGCAAAAAATACTTAGGTTAACATATTGTACATGTAAAGTCTAATATGACTGATTTATATCAGAATTAAATTAATGCTATTCTCTAGGGGTTGTTTTTAATTGCTTATGTTACAGTTTGAAAGCATTTCCTCTCTTTCCAGTTTTTAATCTTGTATGATATACTGTACTCAGTGAGTTTAACTTTTTTCTTATTTTATCACACAATTAAAATATACATATTCTACCAAATAAATACTAGTGAAGCTTTGTCCCGGTGTTTTTGTAGTGCTCAGTCTAATCTGCCGAAGAACATTATAAATAGAATAAGAAAGGGCCAAGTGCTTTTCGGATCACTAAATTCCACCACCACCAAAGTGTATGACAGGTTATAAGAGGGCAGAACTAATGATAATGACATGCCTGGTTGTTATTAGTCAAACTGCGTTTCACAACTGAGACCATAATAATAAAACAAAGGTCTGAATCACCTGTTATTACACTTTGTTACTGATGTTTTTTATCCTTCAACTTCTGAAAACTTCAAAATATCTACAAAACATAATTTTCTTTCCCTTCCAGTAAACACAAGGAAAGTAAAGCATTTCTGCTACCAATTTTCCTCTAGTCAGACAACAGTGATGATGTTCTAAATCAATACCATTACTGCCAACGTTCTTCATGAAAGGTTGCATCCTCTTCTCATGGCCGAGTGTTTAAAAAATTTACTCACTGTCATTTGTATAGACAGCTAATCCTGAAAATAACCATTCAGTGATCATATTACCACAACGCCTTCTGAATACAGAAGTCCTCTCAGGCCACCTGTCCATTCTTTTCGCACTCAGAGTCTGCAAATGGTCAACTTTTGACTTTGCCCTAAACAGTATAAACCAAATTGAAGGAACTCACTCAAAATCAAAACCTCCTCATACCCCTTTTTTATAGTTCAGTGTCTTTTATTAGTCAACTAGAATAAAGACATCAGCCAAATTAAATATTGTCTGACAAAACATTTATAAGCACTCTAAGTTTTTATCTCCAACCCTGCCTCACATATTGCCACTCTACCCTTTTAAATCTTCAATATTTTACAATGCAATCAGTGTCTCCATCTGCTGGCACCCTGTGTAGCGCTTTTGGAAATATCCTGTTTTGTTTTAATAAGTACAATATCAGGAGACCAGCATGTACTGAATGGAAGAACAATGTGCATAAGCCAGAAAAAGCTAGAAAATAACCCATGATTACATTACAGTATATGTCTCTTACTTTGCAGTTAGATCAGATGAGCAGACCCCTGAATCGCATTAAAAGCATTTTGAACAATAAGGGAGAACAATTTTCAGTTACTATTTATACAATTAAAGCTATTTAGTTATGAATCCAGCTTTTCAGCTTTTAGAGCACATTCAATGGACACTTGACCTGAAATATAAATATCGATTCAATAATAATAACACTACTAAGAATAATGATTATTACAACAACATACAGTAGCAAAATAAACAGCAACACCAAGAACTTTAAATACTTTATTGGTACAATATTTGAATAAAGAATGGCTAAAATATTTGCTAAATATTTCAATTGAATATATATTACGAATAAGATCAATTTTAAAATGTTATTTGAATGTATTTGCGTTAGAAATAAAAATGTATACTTTGATCTCATTTTGCCTGTTTACTTGGGTATTCTCTAACACTTTCATTAATTACGTGAAAAGTCTCACACCCACAACAGTCCTTGGTGTTTCTAAAAATAATCTTTCCTTGGAGTTGAAAAAGATTTCTTTAAACAGGTTCCTCCTAACTTAAAAGATGACCATATATAGGGTAACTTAAAGATGGCAACAGAAAGGGCCCTGTATAAAAAGAGGTCAGAGTCGCAATTCTCCTTGTCATCTTACAACTCTCGGTAAGTCCATCTAGCTATCCAGCTGTAAAGTTACTGTATTGCACGTCAGGAAAAACTAAAAAGCATTTGTTTGTTTTATTTTTGTTCTTACACTAGGTTATCGCCTTGGAAGGCATAAGTTTTTCATTTGACTTCGGAATATTACAAGGTAAGTTGTTTTCAAATTCTTATAGAAAGAGACATTAATAGCAGTCTCTGCAAGCTAGGTGATAAAACAAATGGCGTTTTTGGCGTTTGGGTTGAGCTGTGCGAGGGATGAGCAATATACAGAAATTAGAAGGAAAGTACTGTCAGTCCTTCTTCCTTTAAGTAAAAAATGCGCACTTTTGCAATCCAGGTGCGAAGAGACATCAGTCAGAAACTGTGCGTAATAAGCGAAACCAATATTTTCATTAATTGCTTTAGCTTTAAGAGCAAGTAGTGCTGTTTTAAAGTGTCTTATCCTGTGGGCTTCCTCTTACTAGTAAGGTTTTCTTAAACGTTCGTTTTCGCCGTCTTTTTAAACTGTGCTTTGATGCGAGCACGCAGTTACAATAAGGCTTTTAGTTTATTCGCCATACAGTATGTTACTCTTCAATAATAGCGTATCACATATTTTTTAATGTTTTTTTTAAAAAAAGCTGAATTTTGATACATGATTTTAGTTCTTTAGACATAAATCGAAGGATGTAAATGCTTTCTAACGTCTATTAGTATAGAGTATTATGATCAGTGTGGTCGACTTGAAGCACTGCCTCCAAGCTTTAGCACAGTGGTCTCCTGAACCCCAGTCTAGCAGGTTTTTACAGGAACAGTGACTGCGCTGTACAGTAGCTTGATTGTAAACAGCATTCATAAGTCCAGCATATCTATAAAATGCTTTGACTGTGGTGAAGGTGAAGTTAGTGTACTTGATCTGTGATACAACAAAAATTATCTTTATTTGAGCTCAAGATTGCTTTACTATTTGTAATTGTTAATTATTACAGTACAGGTATCTACAGTATGTTCTCTTTGTACATGTACTGTATAAAATATTGAACAGAGGCTGAAAACTGTCGAGCTAATGTCCCTGTATAGGACATTTTGTATCACATATTATTTGGGTCATAGAGAAAAATAATAAAACCAGCTTAATTTGTATGTTACGAATAGCGGCAAATCACCATCATGAGTGGCGACTCGGAGATGTCTATTTTTGGCGAAGCTGCCAAGTACCTGCGCAAGTCGGAGAAGGAAAGATTGGAAGCACAGAGTCGGGCCTTTGACGCCAGAACTGCCTGCTTTGTGGACGATGACAAGGAGCTCTACGTTAAGGGCGTCATCCAGAGTAAGGAGGGTGGCAAAGTCACTGTCAAAACTGAGGATAACAGAGTAAGTTAAATGCAGTATGTGATCAGTCGTAAATCCCTGTCAATTATATTTGAAATCTCTTGTCATTCACATTCTCATCCTCTTATTTATTTCAATATTCAGACAGTGACCGTGAAGGATAACCAGGTTTACCCACTGAATCCTCCCAAGTTCGATAAAATTGAGGACATGGCAATGATGACCCACCTGAACGAGCCTTGTGTGCTGTATAACCTCAAAGAGCGTTACGCAGCCTGGATGATTTACGTATGTTTTTACATATCACATTTAAATGGATGTGTTAGTATTGTTTTAGCAATTATAAGTACAGTATATAGAACCTAAAATGCTGATTAATGATACCTGTTCATTCTTTGCAGACATACTCTGGTCTTTTCTGCGTCACTGTCAACCCGTATAAGTGGCTGCCTGTGTACAATCCCGAGGTTGTTGCTGCGTATAGAGGCAAGAAGCGCATGGAGGTGCCTCCACACATTTTCGCCCTGTCTGACAACGCCTACCAGTTTATGCTGACTGGTAAGAACAGAAGTTTGAAGTCTCATGAACTCTAAACCCACAACTGGACTGAAATAAACAATGTTCTGTGTACAACCCAGTGTTTATAAAAAAATAAACCTTGTAAATACCTTTAGTTGCCATTGTAGGAAACTATCTTTTAACATGTTTAAACTGTTTTTTTTTTTTCTAAACGCAGACCGTGAAAACCAGTCTATTTTAATCACGTAAGTATATTTTAAATAAACTTTTCTGTATCGTTTAAGCCAATAACTAAATTGTGCTTATAATTTACTTGGACTGTCTTGTTTTGCCAGTGGAGAATCTGGTGCTGGAAAGACTGTGAACACGAAACGTGTCATCCAGTACTTTGCCAGCATTGCGACATCTGGAGACAAGAAGAAGGCCGAGTACACTAGCAAGATGAAGGTTAGACTTTTACACACCATTTTATTAGCTTTACGAATATGATTTTCAGCTGGTAGTGCTTCAATCATTCATTAATGGTTTTGTCCCTTACAGGGAACTCTGGAAGATCAAATCATCCAGGCCAACCCTCTGTTAGAAGCCTTTGGTAATGCCAAGACAGTGAGAAATGACAACTCCTCACGTTTCGTAAGTTTTGTGCCAGCTCATAATTTATTTTATATGGTCCCTTATAATGTCCCTTATAAACATTTTCCTTGAAAAAGTACTACATTGTGATTCCTATGGCTTTTACCACAGTTTTGCAGTGGTGTTCTAATATCTCAACGTGTCTCACTCTATGCTTTACTGGACTATAAGAATACCAAGATGTACTAAAGGAATCATTTTGTCACTGAAAATGTGTATTTATTTTAGATTGTACTATATTAAAGTATTGTACCTTTATATATATATAAATATGGGCAAGTATACTTGTCAATTTTCTATTTGGTTTAATAAAAAGTAATAAATGATAAAACATCAATGATAAAGTGAAGAGTACCACCACTCCCCTTATTTATACATTCATTTATTACTAGGGGTGTCCTACTGGGCTACACCAATGGCTTTGGAAGCAAGGAAAAATATTGTTTTTTTTTAAATCATGTAAAATATTTAATTAGAACTGAAATAGATGTGTTTAAAAAGACAACAACACATAGAGTACCTGCCAAATAATAAAGTTTGTGGTTGTCAGGTTTGCTTTGGGCTCTATCAGAAGCATAGCCAGGTACTAAAGTGTTTTAATCTTATTTTGACTAACAGGGCAAATTCATCAGAATTCACTTTGCAGCATCAGGCAAACTGTCTTCCGCTGATATTGAAACATGTAAGTACAGCAGCCTATGACAAAGAAAGCATTTAGACTCAGACTTGTCTCTGTAAATTTTAAATACACAATTCATGTACTACAGATTTGCTGGAAAAGTCAAGAGTTACATTTCAACTGTCGTCTGAAAGAAACTACCACATTTTCTACCAACTGACATGCAACAAAAAACCGGAACTCATTGGTGAGTATCCAACTTAAATATTTTATTTAGCCTTTTGGTAAGATTATTTTAACAAAGGGCATTCAATTTTAAAGGGCAGCCTTTAAAAAATGCATTTGTGCTTTCTTTCCTAGAAATGCTTCTTATCAGTTCCAACCCTTATGACTTTACCTACATCAGCCAGGGTGAAGTTGCTGTGAAGAGTATTGATGATGCAGCAGAGCTGATGGCCACCGATGTAAGTAGAATGGCAATCAGATATCACAGCATGTCTCAGGTATTGGTTTCTTGGTAATAGTCCCTTACGATGATATTATTCTGTGTATCTATGCAGGAAGCCATTGACATTCTTGGTTTCAGTGCTGATGAGAAAAATGGTATCTACAAGCTCACTGGCGCTGTGATGCACTATGGTAACCTGAGGTTCAAGCAGAAGCAGCGTGAGGAGCAGGCTGAGCCTGATGGCACTGAGGGTAAACAGCATCTTAAAACAAATGCCAACATGTTACAAGACCACAAAGTTAAAGCTTTTACACCATTTACATCAATGTTTGAATAATTTTATTTCCCAAATTTTGAATTCAGAGCAAATTCTTTTGTTTGTTTTGATTTGTTGACTTTAATGCTGCAGTAAGAACTTTGTTTGATTTATAAAGTACACTGCAGTTAACTATGGATATTCCTTTTAAAAGGAATATTACAGTTGTGTACTGGTGTTAGACTCCTGTATTTGCTAGACAAGACTGCTTATTACTGAATGCAATCAGTTGAATTGGGTTGGGAAGCTGAGAGTTTCCTGACCACGGTATTGGACAGTATATATTTCGGAATAAATCCTAAACAGAATAGAAAAATGAGCTTCACGTGTTGTACTAATTTGATATTTCAAGTATACATGGAAACTATAGTGTAGGTACAGTACCTTCATTACTAATCACTATATAAATCAATCCATCTTTGTCTTTATGCAGTATAACACATTTTACGAAAATAATCACCTTAAAGTGCTGAACAAAAGAATAAATAAGAGATGCAAATGTAAAAGCAAATACAATTTGTTTTTAAATTTAAATGTAAATTAATTGGAAAGGAAAAGTTTAAAAACTATAAATACCTACATATACTCTATGTAAGCTAGAAAAGCTTTAAACTCTTTTAACAGCATTATTGCCTCCATTCTGTGATACTTAGGATTTGTTCTATGAAACCAGTAATTACAACAAATATAAAATAAAAAATGATTTAATCAATATAAGACAGGCTAAGCACAGGGTCATTATTCAGAGCTATATACTGTACTGTAAGTAATGAATAACTGTAACTCAGACAGGCTGAGATCTAAATGTAAAAATCAATGGCCACTTTTTTTCTGACTGATTATATGATATGTTTCATGCTTTTTGTGGAAAAAATAGTTAGGATTGAAACATTTTTTTCACTAATTATTAGGTATTGTTTTTTTTGGTTTACAGTGGCTGATAAAGCAGCTTACCTGATGGGCCTAAACTCATCTGAATTTCTCAAGTGTTTGTGCTACCCCAGAGTGAAGGTTGGGAATGAGTATGTCACTAAGGGACAGAGTGTCCAACAGGTAAATTATGTCTTTTTGTTGTTTAAAGTATAGGTGAGATGTAGAGAACATGATCAACTTAACCAGTATATTACAATTTCCAGTCTTGCTGTTTTTGTGAAGTGTGTTATTATTCTTAACTAACTAATGTTTCACCCATATCTATGTCAGGTGTATAACTCCGTTGGTGCTCTGGGCAAGTCTGTCTATGAGAAGATGTTCTTGTGGATGGTGATCCGTATAAACCAGCAGCTGGACACTAAACAGGCCAGGCAGCAGTTCATTGGAGTTCTGGATATTGCTGGCTTTGAGATTTTTGATGTAGGTTTAGAAGTCTTTTTAATATATGTTATAAGTTAATGTTGGCCATAGTCTAGTTTTTTAATATGGTTATTCATGTTTCAATTCTTTTCTCTTTTCTAGTTCAATACATTGGAACAGCTGTGCATCAACTTTACCAATGAGAAGTTGCAACAGTTTTTCAATCATCACATGTTTGTACTGGAACAAGAAGAGTACAAGAAAGAGGGAATTGATTGGGAGTTCATTGACTTTGGCATGGACTTGGCTGCCTGCATTGAGCTCATTGAAAAGGTATGCAACACTGTGTCTTTTGTCTTTTGGACATGCAATATTTATGCAGAACATGTGCAAATGTTAGATCTCTTATGCACTGTAACATTTAATATTCTTTAGTTAAAATAGGAATTATGCATAAACCAGAATTTACACATTTAATACATCTGTGCCCGTTATGATCTGTGCACGTCTTTGTGGGCAGGAACATGATGTGAATGGCTTTAGCAAACAAATGTATAATGAAAAGTAGAGTATTCGTTTAAAAATTTGTGGTCAAACTATAGATTTTTATTAGTACATGAGTGCTTTCTGGGTTACGAAAAGTTTTTCTATCTCTTTTAGCTTACTACAAAGGTATATTAATATTAGTGCATAAAGACACAGACCTTTTTGACATTTCTGAAAGTTATTGCAGATTCTGAAATTTAACAGATTTGTATTACTTAGAGAAATTATTTTTGTTATGAATGATAGTTTATGCTTAGCATGAAATTGTTACAGCATTACAATTTATCTGTCATCTTAAATCAGACTATTGAAAGTGTTTCAAATAAAATAAAACAGATGGTTATGCATACATGACTCAGGCAAGCAGACAATTCTTGACAAACTGACCTACAGTAGGCTAATTTACTGATATACATTTTCAGTTTGCTTTTCTACAATTAATTTCTTTATTTATATTGATTTTACCCAGCCAATGGGCATTTTCTCCATCCTTGAAGAGGAGTGCATGTTCCCCAAGTCTACAGACACCTCCTTCAAGAACAAGCTCTATGACCAGCATCTTGGAAAATCTGCCTCTTTCCTGAAACCCAAGCATGTCAAAGGCAAGGCTGAGGCCCACTTCTCCCTGGGGCATTACGCAGGCACAGTGGACTACAACATCAGTGGCTGGCTTGAGAAGAACAAGGACCCCCTGAATGAGTCTGTTGTGCAGCTGTACCAGAAATCCTCTTTGAAACTCCTATCTTTCCTGTACTCCAGCTATGCTGGTGATGGTAAATAAACTATCTCTTCATTTTATTTATTTTGAAAACCTGTAAATAAATAAATTTAACCAGTGTTGAGAATCTTTAAGTACTTAAACTTTCTGTCTATTAGATGCTGGTGCTAAAAAGGGAGGAAAGAAGAAGGGATCATCATTTCAGACAGTGTCTGCACTTTTCAGGGTAAGATACTGACAAGAATCATACTCTTGATATTAAATTACTCAATGTGCCTAAAACTCATTATTTTTTACTTCTTGCTGCAGGAAAATCTTAACAAGCTGATGTCTAACTTGAAAACAACTCATCCTCACTTTGTGCGCTGTTTGATTCCTAATGAAACTAAAACACCAGGTGAAAATATTTATCACAGAAAGATGCATAATATATTTCATTGATAACATCTAAACTGGAACAATTACTCATATATTGAGCTCTCCACATACAGGTGCTATGGAGAACCACCTTGTAGTACACCAGTTGAGGTGTAACGGTGTGCTGGAAGGAATCAGAATTTGCAGGAAGGGATTCCCAAGCAGAATCCAATATGGGGACTTCAAACAAAGGTATATATTTCACAAAATTTGATTTTCTTCAATGTTCTTAAACAGAAATAACTTTCCTGACATAAGTAATGTTTAAATAACAATATTTTAAGTTTAGTGGAGGCCTAAGCAGGGTTCAAGAAATATACATATACTGTTTAAAGTAGACACCATTGCATTTCTTTCATGCTATGTCTCTTTCAGAGATATAAATGGCTCCATTTAAGTTGATAAACAAAATATCACATTAATTACAGGGCCTGAAGAAAAGTATATTTAATACTATATCTTGTATAGTTATCTTTCATTACTCGAGGTCCCCATCTTTACTGTAGAGTATTCTCCTCATTCTTCAGATGACCTATTGGTGTATGTATTTCCTTACTTATTTCAGGTTATTGTAGCAAATTAATACAAACTTTACTCTTCTGATTCATATTTACTGCAGACATTTAACTATATGAAAATGAAATACATATTTTTATTGAACAATTAGCTCACTAACTTTTTGTACTGAATTTAGAAAACTCATTTATAGAGCTTAAAATGCCAAGGAACAGAGGTCACTGACCTTTGTAAGGGTCTTCCCTAAGGGTCTGAAGGTCCACATGTTAACTAATTATAGTCTGCATAGACACTTAGAGACTGATTTAGGGCAAGCCTCACGCTTTTCCAAACACAAATAGTCTCCTTGAGCAAGGAAAAAAACATTGCCAGTTACATTTGTGACATTTGTGAGTGTAAATGTGTAAAACAGTTAAAAGTCTACAGATCATGTTAAAAAAACTTCAAAAGCCATCAAGGAATATTAAAATCATTAAATTGTTTTGAATCAAATTCAAATTGATTTTTGAATAGTTATTGGTTGTTATTGATTTTAATATTTTCTACTTTTAACAGCTAATGTAACAGAAGTTTTTAAGGCTAATATGATTGATTTAGGAATAAGTAAAGAATGACAGTGTTTTGGCAGTAAAACCTTCTTCAGGTGTTAAACTTTTTGTCCTGAATTTGGAAATTTAAAAATAATATATAATATTAGAAATATTATGATTGACTTATACCAGAATTAAATTGATAACATTCTTCTGGGGGTTGTTTTTAATTGCTTTTGTTACAATTTCGAAGCATTACCTCTCCTTCCATTTTTACTCTTGTATGATATAGTCAGTGAGTTTAATTTCATTCTTATTTTATCACACAATTAAAATATACATATTATACCAAATAAATAACAAAGTGGAACATTAATAAAATCTAAACTTAACATCTTATCCACATCCTGTTTCAGATACAGGGTCCTAAATGCAAGTGCTGTGCCTGAAGGTCAGTTCATGGACAACAAGAAGGCATCTGAGAAGCTGCTGGGTTCCATTGATATTGATCACACTCAGTACAAGTTTGGACATACTAAAGTAAGTGCTTGGTTCTTTATACACTTTCAAGAGAAAATAGATCTGAACACTTCATCCATGGATTATTTTGGATATTTTTGCTTTTCAGGTGTTCTTCAAAGCTGGTCTTCTTGGTGTTCTTGAGGAAATGAGAGATGAACGTTTGGCTCAGCTTGTTACTTGCATTCAGTCTGTTTGCCGGGGAAATCTGATGAGAAATGAGTTCAAGAAAATGATGGAGAGAAGGTGAGTAGTCTGAAAAGAGATCACCACTTACCAAAATAGTATGTAGATGACCTAACTCAGTGCTCTATAGATTATAGATTAACTGTAGATTAGTGCTATAGTTTAACTCATTTCTCTATAGAAACTGATAACTATCAGTTGGGACATTTTTAGAGAAGAGTTTAGGTTATATTCATAAGGGACCATTATCTGTTTAGAAACACTTGATTTGGTACTGTAACTATCTTTTACTATTCTTCTAATACAACAGGGAGTCTCTGTTTACCATCCAATATAACATCCGCTCATTCATGAATGTGAAACACTGGCCATGGATGAAGTTGTACTTCAAGATCAAACCTCTTCTGATGAGCGCAGAGGCTGAGAAGGAGATGGCCAACATGAAGGAAGAGTTTGCCAAGTGCAAGGAAGACCTGGCCAAATCAGAAGCCAGAAGAAAGGAGCTTGAAGAGAAAATGGTTTCCATTATTCAAGAGAAGAATGACTTGTTTATTCAAGTTCAAGCAGTATGTTATAAAATAATATTAGTATATTAAAATAATCTTTATTTATTTTGTTTTTTTTTTCAAATTCTTATGCAATTAGATTCAATATTAATCTAAATTCTACTTTTACCTAAAGGAAGCAGACAACTTGACAGATGCTGAAGAAAGGTGTGAAGGCCTCATTAAGAGCAAAATACAGCTTGAGGCCAAACTGAAAGAGATAACAGAAAGACTGGAGGATGAAGAGGAAATGAATGCTGAGATGACAGCCAAGAAGAGGAAACTGGAGGATGAGTGCTCTGAGCTCAAGAAAGATATTGATGACTTAGAGCTCACCTTGGCCAAAGTGGAGAAGGAGAAGCATGCAACTGAAAACAAGGTGAATATCATACTTTTTAAGTAAATTACCTGCTTATTAGTAACAAGAAGGATTGTTTCAATTAAACCCATTTCAATACACAGGTGAAAAACCTCACTGAAGAGATGGGTTCACTTGATGAGAACATCTCTAAGCTATCCAAGGAGAAGAAGGCTCTTCAGGAGGCTCACCAGCAGACACTTGATGATCTGCAAGTGGAGGAAGACAAAGTCAATACTTTGAATAAAGCAAAGACAAAGCTGGAGCAGCAAGTGGATGATGTGAGTTTAAATATACTTGATTCTTTAAGTAGGATGTATTGGATCTCAAGTATCTAAAATATTTAAATTAAAAAAATAACTGTTTAAACAAAATGTGTTTGTTATCCATTTTATTTGTTGGTGGTCTTCCAAAGCTATTTTGTCCTCTCATGCAAAATGTTTTGAAAAGAATTGAGTTTATTCAACCTATTAATGTTTAACTTTAGCTCGAAGGTTCACTAGAACAAGAGAAGAAAATTCGCCTTGACCTTGAGAGAGCCAAGAGAAAGTTGGAGGGTGATCTGAAGCTGGCTCAAGAATCGATTATGGACCTGGAAAACGAAAAGCAGCAGATGGAAGAGAAACTGAAGAAGTATGTGGTTTAAGATATTGCACATAATAGTTGAACAATATTGTATCTAATAAAGAAAACATGTATTTAATCTTTGGTGGTGTTAGGAACTTAACAAATGCTCACTGTTTACAAATCATAAAGGACAATTGCTTTAGGTATATTCCAAAACATTATTCTATTTTAATTCCTTCTATAACAGGAAAGACTTTGAAGTTACACAGCTGCAAGGAAGAATTGAAGATGAACAAGTTCTTGGGTCTCAACTGCAGAAGAAAATTAAGGAGTTACAGGCAAGCTGTAATTCTGATGTTTTATTTGTTTTTCTAATGAATGGGATGTGACCTGGGACTTACCTTTAATTTCATATTGTTAGGCTCGTATTGAAGAACTTGAAGAAGAAATTGAGGCTGAACGTGCTGCTCGGGCCAAAGTTGAGAAGCAGAGGGCTGATCTCTCCAGGGAACTAGAGGACATCAGTGAAAGACTTGAAGAAGCTGGAGGAGCAACTTCTGCCCAGATTGAGATGAACAAGAAACGTGAAGCCGAGCTCCAGAAGCTCCGCCGTGACCTTGAAGAGGCCACTCTGCAGCATGAAGCCACAGCAGCAGCTCTGCGCAAGAAACATGCTGACACAGTAGCAGATCTTGGGGAGCAGATTGACAACCTGCAGCGAGTCAAACAGAAGCTTGAAAAGGAGAAGAGTGAGCTGAAAATGGAAGTGGATGATCTTTCAAGTAACATGGAGGCAGTTTCCAAATCCAAAGTGGGTCATATTTTCTTTCAAATTGTTTTTAATTGTATGCTTCTCTGTACTGTAGTTTGTCATTTACTTCTGCATTTCCACCTGTTGTGTAGGCCAATCTTGAAAAGTTGTGCCACTCTTTGGAGGATCAGCTCCTGGAAGTCAAGGTCAAAGAAGATGAAAACCACAGACTGATCAGTGATCTTACCGCTCAGAAATCACGCCTCCAGACAGAAAATGGTAAACCTGGCACATTTTTCATTAATACATATCAATTATATTAATTATCAAAAACACATTTTATAGTTTTGCTGTAAAATACAAAAAAGGATGTATTCAGAGTTTATTTGCTCTTTATCATTAAAACAGGTGAACTATATCGGCAGTTGGAGGAAAGGGAATCCTTGGTATCTCAGATGACTAGAGTGAAGCAAGCCTTCTCTCAGCAAATTGAAGAGCTTAAGCGGCAAAACGAAGAGGATACAAAGGTATATGTTCTTTCCAAGTGAGTGCTTGACTAATTCACTTAGAAAGTAGTTTACAAACACAAACTCTCTTTGTGTCTCACAACAGGCTAAAAATGCTTTAGCCCATGCTTTGCAGTCATCTCGACATGACTGTGACCTCCTGAGAGAACAGTTTGAAGAGGAACAGGAGGCCAAGGCTGAGCTGCAGCGTTCAATGTCCAAGGCCAACAGTGAAGTGGCTCAGTGGAGGACAAAATATGAGACTGATGCCATCCAGCGCACTGAGGAGCTTGAGGAGGCCAAGTAAGCAAGCCCCAACACTTATCCTGTCATCAACAAGAAGCTAGACAAACATTCTTTCAGTACTTTAAAACTGTGCACTTGGCTTTTTTTAGGAAAAAGCTGGCCCAGCGCTTACAGGAAGCAGAGGAGGCTATTGAAGCTACAAATTCCAAGTGCTCTTCACTTGAGAAGACCAAGCAAAGGCTCCAGGGTGAAGTTGAGGATCTGATGATGGATGTGGAGAAAGCAAATGCTGCTGCTGCAATACTGGATAAGAAGCAGAGAAACTTTGATAAGGTAGCTGTTAAATGATTTGTGCTAATTATATAGTATTGATGTGTCAAAAGATTACTAATAACAATTTTCACATTACTGTTAGATGTTTATAAGATACAGACTAAGATGTAAATGACAAAACAAATTTTGCTTGTTTTCTAAGATCTTGGCAGAATGGAAGCAGAAGTATGAAGAAACCCAAGCTGAACTGGAATCTGCTTTGAAGGAGGTTCGCTCCATCGGCACTGAGAATTTCAAGATGAAGAATGCTTATGAAGAATCACTGGAGCATCTTGAAACTCTGAAACGTGAAAACAAGAACCTGCAACGTAAGTTTGATAAGGGTGCAATTAAAGGCTTTGATATTTGACCTTCTTTTATGATTCTTTTTCACTTTTTCATGCCTCTACAGTCACATGTTAACATACAGTATTAATATATGACTCATCAGTTTCAAACAAACCTCTTTGTGAGCCTCTTAGAGCAGAAGGAGCAGCTTGAACAGGACATGATGTATCTTCTTAAATGTTCCGGAATATTTTAACCCTTGTCCCATTGCATGTTTCTTGAAATATCTCAATTGCAGTTGATCTTGTGATGAAAATATTTTCTTGTTTGGTGGAATACAAGATATTAAATGTTTGCATGCACAATATCTTTATTTCTTTTTCAGAGGAGATTACAGATCTGACTGAGCAACTTGGGGAGAATGGTAAGAGCATCCATGAGCTAGAGAAGGCCAGGAAACAAGCAGAACAGGAAAGGGGAGAGATTCAGAGTGCCCTGGAGGAAGCTGAGGTACTGTTCATCACTGTTCATTTCTAGTAATATGAATAGTATTTACGAAGCCTTACAATATGTGGCTTTAGCTAAGAACAAAATAAATGTGGTCTTGAGTTTAGGCAAAAAAAAAACTGAAACAATGCTATTACAGGAAACTAAAAGTTTGTAAAAGTATCATAAAATCTTAGAATCACAAAATGACTATTAAACCAGTCTCTGCTTATGTAGTGGGTGAAAATAGATGAATTATGGCTGTGACTTGTTTAAAGGAGATCTTTGCAATTTATATTCCAGGCATCTCTTGAACATGAAGAAGGCAAAATCCTCCGTGTGCAGTTAGAGCTCAACCAGGTGAAATCTGAAATTGACAGGAAGATAGCAGAGAAAGATGAGGAGATTGAGCAGCTGAAGAGGAACAACCAGAGAGTTATTGATACTCTTCAAAGCACTTTGGATGCTGAGGTCAGGAGCCGGAATGATGCCTTGAGAATGAAGAAGAAGATGGAGGGAGATCTCAATGAAATGGAAATCCAGCTAAGCCATGCCAACCGCCAGGCCAGCGAATCACAGAAACAACTGAGGAACATTCAAGCACAGCTTAAGGTTGGAAACAATACCAATTTTACTAGGATGGCAACATCCAATAATTAAGTTAATTGAAAATGTTTATTAAGTGTTTTAGCTATAGTAAATTTGGCTTATCCTGCCTGGCTGAAGACCAAAAGGACAAAGAGGCTAGGACATCATGCAGAATGAGAACTGACCAAGCAGTAACTGCACAGGTGGAGAAGGGGTGTAGAAGGGATTCAAAAGATGAATACTAGGGAGAGAAGGTGCATATGTACTGAATAGTATTTATAAAACGAGGAAGTTACATTAAAATGATTACAAATTAGGACAACTGAGGCCACTTGAATTTTTTTCATAAACCATTTAAAAGACCAATAGAGGCTCCTCTACAAACTTTTAAAAATAAAGTAGCATAAATAAAAATATATATATTTTTGGAGTTTATGTGATTGCACTGCATCTCAAAATTCAGATGTAGCAATAGAGTGGAACTGTGCACTGGAAGGTAGAAATGTATCTATCAAAGAGTTGGCATCTACACAGGACAAGGAAGTATGTAGCACAACCAAAACAGTAACTACAATAGCAACATTATTAATGTATTATTATTCATGAGGGGGAAAGCTTGTAAATAAATGTACATATTTAGTACCTTAAAAATTAATGTTTAGGGGCTTGCTGTTCATAAACCTTGAAATAAACTGACATAATAATAATAATAATAAAAATTTTAGATCTGCCCCAGTTGGTAAGTCCTATACTGTACAAGCATTTTAAAGCTGGGATTCGTGTCAGGTCTTGTAGTAGACCCTATGCGATGCGGGAAGAGCTGGAGAAAACAGGAGGCTTGGTAAAAGGAAACATACAGGGGTTTAATAGTGCACAAAATAATAGTGACAGTCCGTGAGACAGCGAGAGGGGGAGCATCCAAATCCAAACAGGTCCAAAGGCAGGTCAGGGCACAGTCCATCAGCGAGTAATCGATCGTGGGACGCGACAAGGTTAAAATCCCCGGGAAGGGGGAACACAGAAACAGACAAAACATGGAGGTCCAAGGGTGACCGGGCGAGATCCACCAGAACCGGGGCTCGGGAAGTGTCGGGGATGAGGCCTATGCCCTCAGGAGACGGACGTATGGTTTCCTGGTGCCAGGCGGGCCTTGCGACATCCTTACCCTACTGATGAGCCCCGAGGACTGGAGGGGCTAGTCTTTAAATAATACACCTAAGAAGGTACACCTGGGGAGCTTAACAATCACAGGAACATTAACGGGAGTAGTGGAGCACCCTCTAGGGAGGGATGTTGGGCGTGACAGTTAGTGCTGTTTTAACTAAGGGAGTCTTCAATAATGTCTACACTATTGAAACAACCTTTGTATTCTAATTCAATAGGATGCCCAGCTGCACCTGGATGATGCCCTTAGAGGACATGAGGACATGAAGGAACAGGTTGCCATGGTGGAGCGCAGGAACAACCTGATGCAGGCTGAGATTGAGGAAATGAGGGCTGCCCTGGAACAGACTGAGAGAGGCCGCAAAGTGGCTGAGCAGGAACTCCTAGACTCCAGTGAACGTGTGCAGCTGCTGCACTCTCAGGTACTATAAATGAGATTTAACATGAAAGAAACATAAGCAAAAAAATTATAAAACAATACATATGACAAAATTCACAAAATGAGTTAATTCAAAAGAAGGTTTTGCATAAATCCTTACAACTGTACATACTACACGCAACGTTTTGGGGAAGCAGAAAATGCTCTCTCTAATTTTTAAAGATATTTTGTTAGTGTAAGAAATTTTTGAGAATTCACATTGTGCCATAAAAGACACAATGGGATGTACCATACTGATAATGAAATAATATATTTTCTGTAAGAATTTCTGTAAGAATAAGAATTCAATTAAAAAAGAATTCAGGATTTAAATGGTCCATTTTCACTCCTTTCACAAGTGTCATTTGAGAATTAAATAAATTATTATTCTGTATTATAATTTCTGTCTGTTCACATTTTCAAAGCATCTAATTAACAAAGCAAATCAATGTTTTTGGTTGAGAAAACAACATTAATGTTAAGAAACGGGATGAAACTTATTTTAAAAACATGAACATTTTACAGCTATGGCTATAATTTTTAACTACTTAATCATGATTAAAGCTTATTTATTTTCTTGTTCCAGAACACTAGTCTGATAAACAGCAAAAAGAAGCTGGAGAGTGATCTCACACAGTGCCAGGGAGAGATTGAAGATGCAATCCAGGAGGCCAGAAATGCTGAGGAGAAAGCCAAGAAGGCCATAACTGATGTATGTTCTAAAAGCATAATGTTTCTTTTGTACAATCGTTACACTAATGACGTTCACAGATAAAGAACTGATGTGTTTGCATTACAGGCTGCCATGATGGCAGAGGAGCTGAAGAAGGAGCAGGACACCAGCGCTCACCTGGAGAGAATGAAGAAGAACCTGGAGGTCACAGTGAAGGACCTGCAGCACCGTCTGGATGAGGCTGAGCAGCTGGCAATGAAGGGTGGAAAGAAACAGCTCCAGAAGCTGGAAACCAGGGTGAGTTTGACATTAAATAGAATTTTGTACCCTGTAAAAAAGAATATCACAATTAAAAAAAATCAAGAACAAAATCAAAAATGTAAAAATGTTGTCTTCTAATCTGCAACGTCAAAATCCATCTTTGTTCTTCAGGTGCGAGAGCTGGAGAATGAGCTTGAAGCAGAACAGAAACATGGAGCAGATGCCATTAAGGGTGTGCGCAAGTACGAGCGAAGAGTCAAGGAGCTGACGTACCAGGTACAGCATATCAGTACATCACAAAACACAAAAACAAAACAAAACAAAAAAACAGGTCTGCTGTTAATAACTGGCTAATCTTCCACACAGTGTGAAGAAGATAAGAAGACTGTTGCAAGACTGCAGGATCTTGTTGACAAGCTCCAGCTTAAGGTCAAGGCTTATAAGAGGCAGGCTGAGGAGGCTGTGAGTAATAATTATATTTTATATTGACTTAACTGGTCTAATAAAAAAACATAGGTAATTTGAGAAAATATTTGATTTTGAACATTGCTTTCTTGGAATTTCTTTCAATGAATGAATGTCCTTTGTAGGAGGAACAAGCGAACTCCCATCTCTCCAAGTTCAGAAAGGTGCAGCATGAGCTGGAAGAAGCTGAGGAGCGTGCTGACATCGCCGAGTCCCAGGTCAACAAGCTGAGAGCCAAGAGCCGAGATATTGGTGCCAAGGTAAATTCTGCATTACAGACACCATCTCCCAGAAGATATGCTGTTCACTGGTGCATAACTGCAAACATTTCTTCCATGGTTTGCTTAATTAGAGGACTATTAAAAATGCACAGATGGGGGCTTCTGAGTAACTGAACCAGGAAAAGCAATTGTTTAGAATGAAAATTCCATTATATAGTCCAGATTACATGTGATTGTTTGCCAAAGGTTGAATACTGTATAAAAGAGATTCATCAAAACACCAGCACATAGCTGGATGACCAACCATGGGGATGTTGTAGGATTGAGTCACTAAAGATATCTTTAGCTTGACACACAATGGCAGCCTCTGTGACTTGTCTGTGAGCCTATAATATATCAGTGCTGTGAGCAAGAGTTGTATCACTCTTCCAATCAGAATTCAGTGCTATCAGTAGCAGCCACATCACCCCTATGATCAGTGCTATCTCTCCTGTACGGCACCATGGAACTGTCTATGTGAAAATAAATTACATGTGGCTCTACGAGTCCACATTTAATAAGAAAGCATGCATTTCCTTTGTCCATCTTTGCTGCTTAAAGGAGATTTGGGAATGTGCAAAAATATGTAATAATTCTTAATATTTAAATAATTCTTAAATTCATAAACTGCATATCTCTGTAAAGGAGACAATTTAACAACAAAATATGAAGATAATAAAATTAGGAAAATAAATCTTAATTTTAGGATTTTTTAAATCTACTTCCTGTGGATTCTTAGCCCTTTTCTTACAAAGATTTAGTATCCATTTCTGTTCAGTGTGCTGTCCACTTACTTTTATTCAACATGAGACACTTTATGCTCTCAAGTATTTGTATTATATGTATTGTTGTTAGACCTTTATTATGTGTCTTTTTGTAAGTTATGTAGTTACTCACAATAGGACACTTTTAGTAACTGGCTCTAAAGTACTGAAATAGCTTCAAATAAGTTATACCCAGCATTTGTCATATTTAATCATTTAACTAATGATGGCTATATAAAGTCAGAATTGGAAGAGTGGGTCACATATTCAGTACATTAGTTAGGTAAAGACCTATACCTTAAATATTGATTCGATTTCCCATTGATGCATAGATGAAAAAAAATTAAAACATCTTTCTTTTATTCTGTTTTTACAGGGAAAGGAAGACTAAGAAGTGGCATTTATTGCTATTTATTGCTGAAATCCACAAAATGTGAATTTCTTTGTGTTGTTTTTTCATATACATACTGATTGGAATAAATAAAGAACTCTTAATGACTTTTTGGGAACTATGTAATTTATTTTTATGTATATATAATTATCACTATAAACATTGAAAAGTTAAGTCTATTCTGACCAACTTGTAATTCTTGAATGTCTAACAATGGTAATACTGTAGATACCAGTAATACATAAAAATATATTTACAGTCTATATATACTGCATTACCATAAAATTAAAAAAGTCCCCAAATACAATTCCAGATGTTTGTGGAACCAACAGCAGTTCACATAACACTGTGTATGATCTGAATAGAAGTCTAATATTTTCATGTGGTGTTACGACCCCAAGTGTCTAGGGGTGAAGGGGTGTAAGATTTAAGAATTCTTTTGGAAGCAGGTGGGTTTTGGTGATGGACTAGGAAGCGTGATAACAAGGGTAAGGAACTAGAGTGGTGCCAAAGAAAAGAAAATAAACAAAATGGAGCTGGCTAGGACAGTGAGGGAAAGCTAATCTGACTACAAAAGAAAACCCCAAACACACGGTCTTCGGCGTCTTCAACACCCTAGCTAACCTCCACTGACTACCCAAAACCATACAAGACAAATGGCACTCACCCGTACTAAACTAGTGTTCTAATACAAAATCAAAATCAACCCAACAACCTAAACTAACCTTATATACAAAAGCTCACACAAAAAGTGAACCAGGAATACAAATAAGGGAAAACAAGAGTAATCAACAGGAGCAGGGTACAAAAGAACACAACAGTTGAACATGTAACACATTAGGGCAAGGTAATGGCAAAACAAGGATAAACACACAAACAACAAAAGTACAAAGAAACTAACAGAAAACCAACAAAACAACAAAGCCAAAGCTATACAAAAATACACACACACAAAGAAAACCAAAACAAAACGAAGCCGAAGCAATAACCAAAAGCGAAGTGAAACAAAGCAAAGCAATAACCAAAACCAAACGGGACCAAAGTCAAACAAAAAGCCTCTCCTTGCTGAAAACCTCTATGTTATATGCTGAATAAGATGTGTTCTGATTGGCTGAGAGCTAATTGATGATGATGTCATACTGAAAGTGTGGTGTAATGGTGGGCCAATGGGGAAGGGAGAACAATCAAGGGTCAGCAGTGTGGACATAGAAAAAACACACACAGAACACACACTGGGATGTAACATGTGGTCTTTGACATTTGTCAGAAGTAGAAAAGACAATTACCCAATAATAAGAAATTATTATTAAGTAATGGGAACTCTGTCTTACATGTGTTAAAAACACTAACTGAGTTTTAAGTCATGGGCCATCTTGATTGTTCATACTGTATACTGTATAACTTGGCTGTAGAAAAATTATGTGATGAAAATTCCAAACTATCCATTATTTTTGTAGGGAATGGTGATCCATAATTTAATGAAAATACAAATCTTGTGATTTAACTACCCAAGAAATAAACACCTGATTTTCTTCCACTTGAGCACTCAATTGACTGATTGAACCCCAAAAAGTTTATTCTGAACTCCTTAATTACATTTGCCTTTTAACTATTGCTTTCCTACTCCAAACTTTGAGTAGAAAAAAATATTGCAAAGGCTCCAACCATGCAATTTATTGGTTGAATGAAGGATTTATTTCACTAAACTACTCAGGCAAAATAAAACCCTACAATTATAAAATCAGTATGGTATCTAATATCAAGAAAAGAACAAGATTTATTGTAAATACTAAATGCTACAACAGTTCTTACTTTGACCATAGGAGGACACTGTTCAACCACATGCTGTACAAACATTATTTTTCAGTTTCGAATTACAAACACTTTAACTCACACACAAGACAAATGTTTTAATATAAGAGAAACTAAACAAGTGATGCAGGTTACGTTCTTTCCAATGAACTCAACCAGCAAAACAAAGTATATAAGAAAAGTGATTTTTATCTCATAAATGTTACTCTTTACTATTCTCCTGTTTTTCTCTTTTTAAGAAGTATATGAAGATAAGATTAGAATTGGCATGAAATGTTGTATGAACATACAAAAAAGATTAAATAGAATGATCTTTTAAGAAAAAAAAGTAAAAGAACAGCAAATAGTGTTTTGCATTTATATGAATTTATTACATGGAGTAGATGCATGTGTTAAGAACAAAATCGGATGCTGTTTTTCATATTAATAATGCTACACCACCTGAAGAAATAGAATGGGACAGATGTTATAAGACAAAAATAGAAAATAAATGTATGGAAACTTAACTGAAACTAAGGTGTAAAAAATTAAATAATTGTGTTGAGAAAGGGTAGTACAGTGGTGTGTCTGCTGTCATGAAGTGTTTTTTAGGACCCTATGCAGACAGCAGAATCCTGAGGGGAGCGAGACAAACACGGGGAAAAAGACTAGGATTGCAGCTGGAAGAATAACAGGGGGGCGTGTCCAAGGTGCGCTGGTGCTCGGGGGGGGGGGGGGGGTCTGCCAAGGCAAACAAGTCCGAAGGTAGTCCATAAGAAAATCCATGGGAATGCAAATGTCCAGAGCTGGGTGGTCCATCCATGATGGAGACAAGACAAAGTTAAAAGCCGGAGCGGGATCCGACGAAGGGTCAGAGGAATAAAAAAGGGTAATGGGGCCAGGCACTCCTAGCCCCAGACCCAGATGGTCAGGATGCCGTTGCAAAGCCTTTGCTGTCGAGCCCCTCCTGGACTCGCTGGTAGGCGGGCTTCCGGGCGTCCATCTTCCAAAGCTGAGCCTAGATTGGTAGGAGTGTCTGGCTTTTGAAGGAAGGGGGCTGGAACCGGGATCAGGTGCAGAAAATCAGAGATAAACAAGAATGGGATGGAGCGTCCTTAAGAGGAGGGGCTTACAATCATGACAGCCTCACTCCTGCCTCACAGTTCCCGGGTCCAGGGCTCAGGTCTGGGCAGAACACCTTCTGTGTGGAGTTTGCACATTCTCCTATCATGTGGGTTTTCCCCAGGTGTTAAAGTTGAAGACAAAGACATCTTCGCTGATAGGTTACTTAGTGTCTCTAAATTCTATTTTTTTGCGGATGCCCTGTATAGACTGGTGTCCCATCTAGGGTGTAGCCCTATACTTCAAGGATTGATTTTGTGCTTCACCAGTCACCAGGAGTAAGTTGCTCTTAGATAATGGATGGATACATTGCGTAATGATTCGTGTGTAAAGTAAACTTCTGGATATAATGAGCATCAGTGGTTTTTTCATGTTATGCTAGTCTACTTGAGCAGTATTGTATTAAACATTTGTTAACAAAACCTACCTCAAATTAATCATACCAGATACCTTAAGGAAATTGTTTTTAAATAGTTTTTGCTCTTCAAACACAGAAAAAAAGTGATTAAATGTTTTGGGAAAAAGAATAGCTGGCAGTTTATAGTGTTGCTAACAACATGGAAGGGTCTCTACTCTTAACTCATCACCTTCACTGAATAAACCTGCACTAAGTTTTAACATGCCACCGGAGAGTGGCGACGTGTTTGTATGTTGCTCCTCATCTGTACATCTTTGTTTCATTTTGTGGGCATTTTGCATCCACTCTTGACTTTTCAGCAATTATTTATGTTCGACAAATGCTTGTGGAAATTGGATCAGGAATCATTGACTTAAACACAGATATTAAATTAAATAAACTATCTTGGGTGCCCCTTGGTCTGTGTGCTAAGCCCCCTACTGTTTTCTCTTGTTTACACATGATTCTGTGGACAGGCACAGTTCCAACTCCATCTACAAATATGCTGATGACACTACCATCATTGGCCGAATCACTGGTAATGATGAGACAGCCTACAGGGATGAGGTCAGGAACCTGGTGGAGTGGTGCCTTGACAATAATTTCTCCCTCAACGTCAGCAAAACCAAAGAGCTGGTCATCAATGGGGTGGCTGTAGAAATTGTTAGCAGCTTCAAGTTCCTGGGTACCTTCATTACTAATGATGTGATGTGGTCCCAGCATGTAACTGGAGCTACAAAGAAGGCACAACAGCCTCTATCTTCAACCTCTAGACTCCGGACTCGCCACCTCTCTGAAGATTCCCTTGCTGCTTGTCTCCCCTCCCATCCACATCCAGTCCATCGACGACTCCTCCCTCTCCCCAGGATTGGTAGAATGGCAGACGATCCTCCTCTCTCTTCACATTGGAGCCACTCACCTGGAAGTGATTGAGCCTTTCCTCCTCCAGTCTCCGTCACTCCTACTCATACTCAGTTTCCCCTGGTTACAGTTACACAATCCCCACATTTCCTGGACCCAGAGTGAACTCACAGCCTGGGGATCCCACTGCCTAACCCACTGTTGTCAGCTCCCCATGAAACCTTCTCTTGCTCAGATCTCTCACGTCACCTCCTCCACTATTCCCCTCCCTTACGACGACCTTCACATTGCTTTTAGTAAATGTAGAGCCCTTTCTCTCCCCTCTCATTGTCCTTACGATTGCGCCATTGATTTACTCCCTGGTGTTTTGCCACCTAGAGGAAGTATTTATCCCCTCTTGTTAGATGAATCCAAAGCTTTGGAAATGTACATCCAGGACTCCCTTAAAATCTGGCTTCATTCGTCCTTCGTCCTCACCTGCCTGCGCCAATTTTTTTTGTAACCAAGAAGGATGGCTCTTTAAGACTGTGCTTTGATTGCCGCGGTCTCAATGAAATCACTACCCCTCTGCTGCTCATTCCTGCGGCTTTGGAGTCCCTCCGGTGCGCAACAATTTTTTCCAAACTCGACCTTCACGGCGCTTACAACCTCATCCGCATTCGCGAGTGGGATGAATGGAAGACGGCTTTTATCAGCACTCACGGCCATTATGAATATCAGGTTATGCCCTTTAGTCTTGCTAACACCCCGGCTATCTTTCAGAATTACATGAATGAAATTTTCCGGGACGTTATACACAAATACGCACTCATCTATTTGGATGACATTCTATTTTATTCAAGTAGCCCACAGGAACACGTCATACATGTCAGGGAGTTTCTAACTTGCCTCATCAGTAATAGACTCTATGCCAAGCTGGAAAAATGGGGCTGTTCTTT